AATTTTTGCTTCAAGCTCTCTATCATAGTGTAGTTATTCACAGCATTGTCAGTTGTAATTATAAGAAGACTGAGACTAATATTTCAATAGTTATTTTTAATCACAGTCATTAATATCTCTGCTATATAATTCTCAGTATGACTACTGATTAATGATTTAAATTCAATTAATGTCTCTTGATAAGTTCAGTTCTCATCAATGTAATAACATATAACTCTCATAAATGTAAGATTGTTTATACTAGTTCATGTATTCACTGTAAGAGACACTCTTCAATGATTCTTCAACTCTGATTCTAAATGTTGTATATTGACTTTGTAGTATATCTCAAGGTTGAACTGAAGACAGAATTGATGTGAAATATGAAGATTTGAATTAAGTATTTGAAGAAGTGTTCAGAATTCGGGGTTTTCAATTGATTGAAGAGAAAGATTCAGAGATATACATATACAAAGTAATTATTCACAGAAGTTATCAGATAAGAGTTGGGAAATCAGAGTACTGATACAGAGTCATTTTCACATGATTTTCTTCAAATTAGAAAGTTAGTGTTATTAAAAATTGTTATCTGATAGAGTAACTTATCAGCTCAGTAGTAATTTTCTGATTATTTTTCTTTTATTATCTGCATTCTGATGACTTCAGATGTCAGGAAATTTCTTTAGAGCTATGATCAGTTTATGATGAATGTTTCTGAATAAAGTTGCAGTGATTGTAGCAGAGAGATGACTCTTCAGTAATCTGCAATGCAATCTGTTGATAATTATTTCATAGTTCATCTTGATATTTGTGTTAAGTTTTTCATAAATTTTATGACCTGAAATCAGATGTGAAAAATGAAGTGATTATTCATTATAATTGAAAGAGAGTATTCTGTGTTGAATTGTAAATAACATAGACTTTGTAATTCACAGTGATTTCTTGAAGAGTTTGTGAATCTTCAATAGAAGTAAAAGAAGTGAAAGAAGTGAATTCAGAAGATATGATAATAATTTGAGAAAGATGATAATTTATTTTTAATAACTGATCACTGATGTGTGTAAGAAGAATTAATATAAGAGAAAATAATTTTATTTCTTAGCTTAGTTATAATTTTAGTACTAACTCAGATTGAATATCATTGATGTATAAAAATAAATAAACAATCTTGATTAATCTCTGTCATATTTCTTGAAATATATTAATATTGTGAAAGAGAGTGTTACTAAATTATGTTATCAGATAATATTATTAAAAATATATTAATATTATAAATATCAATATTGAAAAAATGTTGATACTTATATATTATAGTGATTTGTGAATCATGATAGTTAAATATATATATATATATATATATTGTTCCTGACTTGATTACAACTTGTACAATAATTTTTAAAAACTCAAAATTAATTTCAATTATTAATAATTATAAACTTACAATTAACTAATATAAAAAGAAAAAAACTTTTTCTACTTATCATCTTTCTTCTCTTTCTCATTCTTCTTATCATTCTTTATAATTTACTTCTCATTCTTCTTCTTCTTCTTCTTCTCATCTGAGATGATAATCATCTTAAAATCTCTCTCTGCTGCCTTCTCAGAGAAGGGTTTCTGCTGCTTCCTCTCAGTCAGATCAATCTGTATCTCAAAATCCTGCATTTTCTGGTCTGCTGTCTCAGATTCTATCTCAGTGACAAGCAGATTGACATGCTCAGAGAGCAGAGCTGTCTTCTCAATATTCTGAATCATGAAGCACATTTGAGATCTGAACAAGGCTTTAATTCCCTTCTTCTCTGCCAGCTTCTGCTAATCAATTAGAGAACAGAAGTGTTATTAAAAATCATTATCTCTTAATAAATAAAAAACTTATCAGTTTTGACTTCTTTATCTCTTACTTTAATATTCTCTCAATCTTTTTCTGCTGCTGCTTATTTACAGTAACACTCTTCTTCTCTCTCTCTCTCTTCATCTTGACCTCAAATCATTCTCAGAACTTCTTCTGGTCTCACTACTGCTGTATAAGACTCTTCACTGTCTTCTTCTTTAATCTCTCACAGACAGTGTCATCTGCATTATTTCTATACTTAGTTCAGTCTAAATCTATCAGAAGTGTTACTTAAAATTGTTATCATTCTACTCTCTTACAGAGTCTCTTCAAGGTATTATAATATGTCTTATGATCTGTCTTCTCTTACTTGAACATCTTCTTCTTCTCTTTCTTCAATCTGTGACAGTACTCACGCGCCTTGATGATCCGCAGGACCGCAGAATATTTGAAGAAAGATGACATGATTAATTTCAGTGAGTATTGAAGAGAGGTGAAGGCAGAAGAGACAGCCAGAAATGATATAATAATGATAATAATGATGATGATGATGATAATAATGATAATGATGATAATGATGATGATGATAGTGATAATGATAATAGTAATGATGATGATAATAATGATGATGAAAGGAGAAGTGCATTGAAATATATTACTGACTTATCAAATATAAAGAGACTTAAAGAACATATTAACAGCTTTCAGTGATGTACAGAAACAGCTACAGTGTTGCATAGCAATATCATCTTCATTCAATACATACACTGTTGATATTCTTTGTATGCACTTATCATATAATCTGTATTAGAGATACATGCAGAAAACAGATCTTTGTTACTAGAACAAATGATTACAGCAATTCTCTGTTTTCATATTATAAAGATAAGTTATTCTCATTTCTTTCTTCTCTCTTTTCTCTTCTTCAATCAATCACTAATTTCAAGCTGGTATGAAAACTATTAAAACACTCTCAGAAACTCTCAAATTGAAGAGTATAGACTAATCAAATTTCAAATGTAGAAGAAATCAAATTATCTTCTACAGATTCAATTATTCATTTCTCTTCAAATAAAACAGCAGTCATGTCCCTCTCTCCCCTCAATCAAATGAAACATGGCCTGTGAAAAGTGAGTACTACATCAGACTATAATGATCAACACAGTCTCAGCATGCATAGCTGCATATACACAGCGTGTGCTGAACTGAGAGACTGCATGAGTTGTAAACCAGCAGCAGCATCTCAGGAAGAGCTGTGTGATGTGAGAAAGCTGCAACTCTCAGCCATGTATGCAGAGAGTGAATCACTGCAGTAAGTGCATGTACATTGAAGTAATGCTTTTTGATAATACTCAGTCTCTGATATAATGAAAATAGAGTCTCTTCATAAGATCTGTTTCTATCAGAAGTCAGAAGATCTTATATTTCTCAAGATTATCTTCACACACCTTGTCTGTGAAATTGATGAGAAGAATCATTGATTCCAGTATTCTGTCCTTGATGTCATTCAAGTGACAGCAGAGTTCACCCTGGCCACACTTTTTAAGTGTATATTTTCTAATTATTCACATTTATATAGATATATACTGATTATTTATTAGATGATGTTAAGACAATGACTCATCACAGCTGTGTTATTCTCACTGTAAGAAATACACAGTTGATGATGAATATTGTGAAGACTCTGAGAAGTGAGTATTTTAAGAGTACTACAGCTCTGTGATCTTGATTTTTTTTTATTTTTATTTTTTGTTTTTTTCTTTTTCTTTTCTTTTTTTTTTATTTTTCTTTCTCTTTCTATCTCTTTTTTTCTTTCTCTTCTTTTTTTCTTTCTCTTTTTTTTTTTTTTTTTTTTGTTGTGATTTTTTCTTGTTGTTTTGTTTTTTGTTTTTTTGTTATTTTTTGTATTTTACATTTTTTTTTTTTTAATTAAAATGATATTGATTATGATCTGTGTTCAGAAAAGTAATAATATTTGATAATACTCTCTATTGAATTTTCAACAAATGAGTACTATGTTATGATATTATGTAAGTGAGAAATGATTTCATGATCTCATTTAATGCCATTTTCAATAATGAAATCAGAATGAAAATGTGACTAAGAATTCAAATATATTCTTTATCTGAGACTAGATTTTTATTTGAAAAGTGAATCTGAGACCTTTAATATTTGAAATAACAGGATTTGAGATCAATGTGATGAACACAAACCATGACCAGAAGTAATACTTTTAGGCAATGTGATAACTGTAAAGTTTGGTCCTGGTCTCAGACACGGTCACACGGTCAGTCTAGTTATATTTATATAACTGAATATGATTAATATATATACACAGCTGTGAATATAATCTGAGAATGAATGAAAGACTGTCTTTAGAACTGCACTGAGATTGTTTAAATATCTAGTGATGTCTTTTAATCTGACTAATATCTCTGTAGTATTTCAGTCTTTTATTAATAAAATACTTCATATATATCTGAATATCTTTGTGATAATATATCTGAATGATGTGATAGTGTACTCTGTGAAGAAGAAAGAACACACTGAGTATATATAAAGTGTGTTGAAGGTCTTGAATAAGGTAGAACTGTATATTAAGCTTGTAAAATACAACTTCAGTATCTATTGAATTAATTTTCTAGAATATATAATCACTGCAGATAATATTCAGATGAAATCTTCATGAGTTGAGACTATTCTATCATAATCAGAGTTAACTAGTATTTATAAGATTCAGATCTTTCTAAGCTTTGTGAATTTTTATAGACAGTTTATTTTTGTGTTTATAAGAATCTTCTTAACTCTTACAGACATGCTGAAGAATGAAAATAAGAAGAAGTTATTTCATAAATAAAGAATAAAAAGATTGTTAAGAAGAAAGAGCTGTAAGAACTTTCTTATCTTAGAAGCTTATAAGATCTTTATAAGATTGAAATAGATATTTATAAATATAGTGATACTGTTTCACTTTAATCTCTTACTCTTAATCAGATTAAAGATAGATATCTTCTTCTTTATAATTTTAGAAATAATCTTGTAACTACAGCTAAATAAGAACTGAGTTTCAGTAATCTTTTTCTCATAGAAGATGCAATCTGTAAAGATCAACTATGATATTTATAATCAGAAGCTTCTTATAATAGTGAAATTCTTTCATTACTAGTATTACTACTTTGAGAGTCTTGTAACAGTGATTACTGTTAGAACTGATTATAATAGCTTATAACAGTTTACTTTAATTAAGAAACTCTCATAACAGCAGATTCACTGAGCTCAGAGACTGAGTGAGTTCTGATTCAAGATAGAATATATTAAGAGAACTAAGAACTCAGTGAATGAATTCTCTCACAGATCAGACTATATTAAGAAGATCAGAGTGACAGATACAGAGAGACTAGAGAAGATAGAAAAGCTTCACAGAATACTCAGACTGAGTGTTATAAAGAGATTAACTGAAGAGTCTTCTAATTTCTCATAAGAGAAGAGAGAGAAGAGAGAGAAGAAGTCTGTATAACTACTCTCTATAACACTGAGAGTTAACACTCTGAAGATCTTTATAAGAATTCTTGAAGAGAGTATTTATAATCTGAAGAGTTTGCAGACTTTGAGAAGTACTGTAGAAGATCTGATATAAGAAAAAACAGAGTATAAGTCTTTATAAGATCTTCTATTCAGATTGTCTGAACTGTAACTGAAGAATGAATATACTCAGTATATTCAGAAACTGCTTATAGCAGAAATTAATTCTGTAGAAATAAAGAGTTAAAGAGACTTAAATAATCTCTTATAAAGAGAGAATCTGATTTATATATCTATGAATAAGTTTCTATATATAGAACTTATTAAAAGATATTATGACTCTTCTCTAGTAAGTCATTTTACAGTCACTAGAACTTATAAGTTACTTATAAGAAAATACTTCTGACTGAAGATGTAAGAACTTATAAAGAAGATAGTGAATTCTTATACTATATATCAGAGTTCATAGATAGTGTGATTCAGATTATATAAAGAACTTACTTCTCTACTCATCTCATGAGAATCTTGAGAATAGCTAGAAATGAATACTCTTGTAAGTCTCTCTGAAAGCAAGAATATATATAATATCTACTTTGACAGTGTGCTGATGATAATGAATTACTTTATTAAGATAACACACTTTATACTCATCTATAAGAACTTGAAGTCAAAGAATTTAACTTATATCTTTATCTGTAATATGATCTGATTGTATGAATTATCTGTAAATATTATCTCAGATAGAGAATTAATCTTTACAGAGAAGTTCTAGTCTGATCTGATAACTATACTGAAGATCTCACAAGATCTAAGCACAGCTTTTCATTAATAGACAGATAATCAGATAGAATATCTGATAAGTATATTGAAATAATATCTACAGTGCTTTATTAATTATAATCAGAATAACTGAGTACATTGATTATCACTCACAGAGTTTATATACAATAACTTAAAGTATGTCAGTATAGATAAAATTCTCTTTAAGATGCTTACTGAGACTCATCTGCAGATAATCTTGATAAATCTGTGAGAGTACACTATAGAGTGTAATAATACTCATGAATGAGCTGAGAGAATTCAGAAGATTCAGAAGAAAGCTCATGAATTCTTGAGAAAAACTCAAGAGTATTAGAAGAGATACTATGACTTCAAGCATATTATAAAGAGTTTTAAGAAAGATGATAGAGTCTGACTGAGTCTAGAAAATATTATCATGTGAAGATTTAGTAAGAAGCTAAATCTCTTGTAAATAGAGTCTTATAAGATTATAAAGAAAGTTAGTTTATAGTTCTACAGATTAAAACTATTATCTGAGTTGTAGATATACAATGTTTTTCATATCTCTTTACTTCATAAATATAAGAAATTCTTAGAAGAGAATTCTATAACTTATCACTCTGTTCATAAGATACTAGAGAGTGAAAGAGAATATCAGGTCAAAGAGATTATTAACTTAGAGAAGTAAGATTATAAGCTCTGATTCAAGATTCAGTGATAAGAGTATTCTGATAAGATGAATGAGTTTACTTGAGAATTATCTGAGTAGATAAGACATCTGTAGAAGCTGAGACATGACTTTTATATTATAAATTCTGACAAGTCAGAATGATACAGTCTTCACTAAGAATCTGATTATGATAAAGATATTAACACTGTTATTTATAAACTCTAGTCTATAAGATGATGAGTTTCTACTAGAATGAACAGTCTGCAGTGTATACAAAGAGAAGAAGAAATCATACTCTTATTAAAGTTAAAAAATAAGAAAATAAAAACAGAGCTGTGAACATAATTTAGAGATTAATAAAGAAAAAACAAAGAAAACTTATACTCATATTCTTAATATCTGTGATACTCAATTCTCTTACAACTATTAATTTCTCTTTTCAAAGAAGCAGAGAGTATTATATCTGTGATACAGATAATTATTACATTTAATA